ACAAGTTCAATTTTTGTGTTGTATCAGAGGTCAATAAAACATCCTTGTTGGACTACTCAACTTCTAGTGAGCATCCAATTAAGGGCAGCCTTTTAATGGAAATGGAGATATGTTTTAAGGCATAGTTGTTTATGAAATGGCAGCTTGACTGTAATTGTTCCCCAAGGAACAGTGTCATGTCACAAATACAGTAAGATCAATTACTGCTAGTTCAGAAAGCATTTGTTCTTGACCGATGAAGAAAATAATTACTGGATTTTACACATTACATAATGAAACTCAAATATATTTATATCATTTTACCTTAATTCTTTTCAAATTTTCCTACTAACAGTTGAAGATTTAATAAATTTGTAATATAATTGCCATCTCAAGAAGATACTTGTCTTAGAAATATCACATTTTGGGGCTGGAGCGACAGCACAGGGGGTAGGGCATTTGCCTTATACATGGCTGACCCAGGTTCGATTCCCAGCATCCCATATGGTCCCCCGAACACCGCCACCACCATAAGTAAGTCCTGAGTGCATGAGCCAGGAGTAATCTCTGTGCATTGCAGGGTGTGACTCAAAAAGAAAAAAAAAAGAATATCACCAATTTTCACCTTCCATGAAATCTGAATGAATGAAATTAACATGAATGAAAGTTGAATGGATTTAATTATTACTATTTATCATGCAAATGTAGTCAACAAATAAAAACATTTAAGACTTTGATGATAGAAGAGATTATTTTAAAATAATATTGGAGGCTCAGAGAAGAGGACAGTTTTATTTTTATCTTATTTTTGCTTTGGGGGCCACTTATTCCTGGCTCTGTGCTTCAGGATCACTCCTAGTGGGGCTTAAGGACCCTATGGAGTGCCAGAGATCAGATCGGGGCTGACTGTTATACAAGACTAGCACCCTACCCCTTGTACTAGCTCCTCTGGCTCTAACCCCAAAACTATTTCAGCATTAGGGAGATTATAAACATTAAATGATCTGTTAACATTTCAGACTTCAGACCGAAAAGGATTTTCCTTTTATGAGGAGACATGTAGAAGACCAGAAAAAGCGTGGAGTGTGTAGGAATGATGAAAGAGAGCTTTTCACCCAAAGTCTGGAACTGAAAAAGGGCATGTAGTAGTTATGTTGACTGAGGTTGTTGACCTGAGGAAAGGGGAAATTCTTTTTTTTTAAATTTATTTTGATTTTTTCATTTTTGGGTCACACCCGGCAATGCTCAGGGGTTACTCCTGGCTCATGCACTCAGGAATTACTCCTGGCAGTGCTCAGGGGACCATATGGGATGCTGGGTCGGCCTCGTACAAGACAAATGCCCTACCCCCTGTGCTATCGCTGCAGCCCTGGAAAGGGGAAATTCTTAATTAAACTTTGATAAATGAAAGCAAGGGACATCTTCAGGCTAATCAGTGAAGCAGGCAGCCAGCTAATCTCTTCCTGGGCAAAAAAAGAAAAACATGGGGAGAATGTGGAAGCCCTGCGTGTAGCAGTAAAGATGAACAAGGGTTCATTCCCATCTAAACTAAGTCATATGGTGGCACTTAGCAGTGCATCATTTCCAGGAGTGTGAGGGGATCTCAGAAGTTCCTGTCACTGTTTTTCAGGAGTTCTCATGTAATATTCAGTGATATTATGATGCTCAGACTTTACCTGAGAGGTTTTAACAGCTTGATAAGTTGGAGGTGTAGAGTCTCTTGTAAACCACAACAATCTCGAATAGGGTGAAATTAAAGACAAAGGGTCAGGAGACTGTGGGATCACTCTGCTGGCATGAGGGCAGGCCACCCTGAGCCTCCTGCTGAAATCCAGAGTGCTGTACTGCACAAGTCAGAGAAATAAACCTTGACAAGAACTTGGTGGCTTATCTTTTAAATAATTAAAAATAAAACACACACAGACACACACACACACACACACACACACACACACACCACGCACGCACGTACACACTTTGTTCCATATGTTTTCTTTTTTTCTTGTTGCAGTACTGAGTATAACTAGTTTATGGTTTGTTTTGTTTTAACTCTGTTAGGATTTCATCAAGAGTATATAAAATTAAAGTGCAGCAAGAACAGTAACAGGTGCTTCAAAAGTAAAAAAAAAAAGAGTAAATAACTCCACTCGCTGGCTGTGTTCCAAAAAAGAAGCACATTTACACAGGACATTGTACACAGGACACTTATTTATGAAGGTCAAACCCATCCGTTCCTGATGATGAGTGTCATGCTATATCTTTGCCCATTGATTGCAAATAAATAGTGGCCCATAATCATTACGACAGGAAAACAGACCTGCTGAGTTTCTAATACCTTTTAGAGAGGTGATGCAATCTGTAATTGAGCTGATGAGCATCCGGCTGTATTACTGTTGTCATGACTCAGCTCTGAGGACACTGAGTATCCAGTCACTCAGATCCCAACATCAGATACCAGACTTCATCCACTCTGAAGTTAACTGCTTAATCTTTCATGAGTGCCATGGACATGGCTCCCAGTTGTTGACTTAAACCCAAAAACAAACAAACAATATAGTGGTATGAAACAACAGCAGGCAGGTGGCATTAGTAATATTTTGATAACTACCAAATAAATAAGTTGCAATGATTCAAGAGACCAGAGGAGCAGAATCCTGAGCTTGCAGGATAAGAAGAATCTCATTAGTCCTGGAAAACCTTGAGACTTGATCTGTAGAGTCCAGTTACTGTGAAGGTGAATTTGTGTTGAAAACTCATAAGAGAATGCTTGATTGAAGTCTATATGAATAGTGAAGCCAGCAATGCTTCTCACCAGGTCATGAATCTAGGTTTCTGCCCTTAACCCAGACAAGTGATTTTCTTTTTGTGTGTCTGTGTGTGTAAGGGGGACAGGGGTTTAAGCCACACACAGTGGTGCTCAGAGCTTACTCCAGGCTCTGTGCTCAGGTATCACTCCTGTCGGGCCTGGGGGAACCAGGGTGAAGGGTGAACCTGGGTCAGCTGCATGCCAGTTCCCCATCTCTTGTACTGTCTCTCTGGCCCCCAAAGGAGATTTTCTGAGAACTTGGATAGTGAAGTTTGAGGTGTAAGATGACCAGTAGATAAAACTGGGGATTCAGTTCCACATGCTGTAATGAACATGAAGGAAAGTACTCCCTTAAAGATGCACTGTTTAATGTTAAGTTTCTCATTATTCTGGCAGGTAGACCAAGATATTGGGGAATGCCTCTTTAGGGCACTATGTTACCCAAGGGAAAATAAGCATGAACCGTAATATTTGGTAGCTTTGCTGTAAAAAAGATGGGCTGCCACGTTGACAGTGAGTTTTCAAGGCCATGTTTCAAAGCAGAACTTTCAGTCAGCATTCTTAGTCTAAAATTTTTAAGAACAGTTCACTGAAGGTTACCAGTCATTTCAGGAAAGCCCATTATGTAGAAAGCGCAAGGTATAAAGCATGACAGACATGGAATCTGTTAGAAGCAGCAAATGAAATAAGCTTCAACATGGCCAGGAGCTTCTGCTGTCATTAATATACTCAGAATGATCAAGATTTATATTGCTTCCATAAGTATCTTTAAAGTGCCATATAAAGAACAAATATAAAAATAGTGTCGATAATTGAACATTTGTGAGAAGTAAAAGAATCAATAGGTAGATAGGAAGTGTAATCAAATCTTGCAGAAATTAAAAAAAGGGAAGATGGATGAGAGGAAAATAATAGAGAAACTTAGAGGTCATGAGGTCGCGCTGAGTAGGTTCAATATTCAAATGATGCATTTTCCAGAGAGATTAAGCAGAGAAAGTTGACATCAAGATATGAAGCAGGAATAAGAAGACTGACATACTTTTTCTTCTAGTGTTGATATTTTAGACTCAACATTAAAAATAGATATATAATAAATGTAAATATAAAATTCATGTTTTAAAAACAAATGTATAATATGTAAAAATTAAAAATTGATACTTGAGATTTATTTGAGGACTGATAAAATTGAAAATAACAGACAAGAAAGTCCTTTCGTTTTTAAGTACATATTTCAGGAAAATTATTTTAGTCACTGTAATTAGATAAGAAACATTTTTAAGGTTGTGGAAGCTAACTTATACCAAAGCAGCAACTTTATGAATTTATAATCAAGAATCTTGTCAAAAAGAATGAATTCTGTCTAGGCTAATAAGACTGACTTTCTGTTTGACAGGAGTTCATGACTAACTTTGTAGCAGCATATTGAAAAGTCGCCTAAAATTCCTAATCCATATTATTTTATTCAAGAAATACTTATGTGCAGAGACTTAGTTGTATGGGCTGATGTAATCCTAGAAACAGTCTCATGAGGGGAGATTTTACTACTTCACTCATTACCATTTTATAGATAAGGGTTACACAGTTTGGCAGATGTGAAAAGTCAGGTTTCGAACCAAAACCCTTTAACCTCTGAGTTTATACCCTTAATCAGTTCACTTTTTTTCTGCTTTTTAAATTCATGATCCCAAATGCCTGGGTTAAACAACTTTTCTATTCCCATCACTCGTGATTCACCTTTTTCAAATTCCCATCACTCATTATTTTTAGGAGAGATGGAGGGGTTTTGTCATCAAGCTTTTGACAGTCACTAAATGTTTGAAGAACCTATGTAGGCCAGAACACTCCTCGAGCATTCAAACTTTGTGATACCCAGTAGAAGCCAGACCCTTTATAATGACTACTCTAGTGCACGTTACTATATACCCAGTATTGTTCTGTCTCACCTACATCTGACCATAGCACTGTTTATGTTTGATGTTGAATATGGTTTGAAATTATCATAACAATTTTTCATGAGACAGCCAAAAGTGGAGTTTGAAGAGATCTGGTTTGTGAGAAATATTATGCTCTGGTACCTGTATCAAAAACTTTAATATTTTCTATCAGTAATGTATAGCATATCATAGTGTTTCTTGAACACTATAGTGTTTCAAAATTAATATATTTCTTTTAGATATGAATGTTACAAATTTTGTTTATTTGATTTTTTTCTTAGTTCAACTTTGTGGGGAAACTTTTGGGTCCACGTGGCAATTCTCTGAAGCGTTTACAAGAAGAAACATTGACCAAAATGTCTATACTTGGAAAAGGATCCATGAGAGACAAAGCAAAGGTAATACTTATTGTAGATAGTATCTACAGTTTTACTCAAAATATATAATTTCTTTTAGATCATCCATTGTATCAGTGCATATTAAATAAAAGTTAGGATCGCAGATAAAATTATATGTAAATTTTATGGAAGATTTGTGATACTGTTTAGAGAATTGAGTTATTCTGGTCAGCTTCACAACATTGCATCTTTAATAAATGCTTTTCCATTTATAAAATAAACTAGTAATGTTTATAGTTTTGATCTTAGAGAGATATACTTCACTCTTTGTTAATGTAAGAGTTGCATCTATACTGCCATTAAGATAAACAAGTTAGTCTATCATTTTGCAACTTAAAATCCTTAAGCTCATTTTTCTATGAACTTCTTACATGATTTGTCAAGTTAAATTGAATTTTAATGGTTTAATAATTGCTTACTTTTTGAACATAGTTGTTCCATTTAGATATATTCACAATAACTGCCTCCCTTTTTAATAACCTAAGGTTTTGCTAATCCTAATTACATCAATTCAGAAGAATTTTTTTTGATTTCATAATGTTACCAGATACTGTTCTTACTATCACTTTTTTTGGTTCTCATTGAAACTACATTACTGAAAACCAAATCCACCTGCATGAAATGGCAACGGTGATTCTTATCAAAGAAGAAAGTTATTTAGACACAATCTAGACTCCTTAAAAATAAGTTCACTTAAATAGTACACATTTTTTTAATTGGGGGGGGGGGCCTAGATGGTGCTCTGGATTTACTCCTGTTATTATTCAGGGCACCATATGCAGTACTGGCTATTGGATCCAGGCCTGCTCTATGAAAGCAAGAACTTTACCTTTTGAACTATTTCCTGGCCCCTTATTTTAGCTCTTTTAATAAAAATATTAAATCCATACATGTATTGCCATCATTTTATGTCTGAACAGGCTTTTTTTTTAATGTGCATTGGGTATCTGTGTTGTCCTTGGAAACAGTGGAAAATACATTATTTTTTTTTTATTTTGCAAGTAATAGAGCCCAGATTCAGAGAACTTGATTATATTGTCATGCTAAAAAGAACATTAATTATATGGCTATGTATCAGACTCAGCTGCTTTAAAATATAGGTGTATTCTTCAATCTTATTTTGGATGAAACATTATATTACAGAAGTTATATGAAATGATTCTAATATGAGGCCAGTTTTACTGCTTACTAAGCATTGCTGATGTTGCTTTGGTGTCCTGATTTGTTTGTTCAATTATGGAAAGCAAAAGTAACTGGTTGGTCAGAACTTTTCTGTAGCTTCTAGAAAAGTATACAGTGAAACAGCTACAGTGGCCTCACCCTAGCTGATGATCTTTAATAACATCTTCAGTAGAGCCATCTGGTAATGTGGTAGGACCAGTGAAATCCAGAGTTATTTTGTTGCTTGTTAAGGGAGTTCCTCATCAGAAGCAAGGTTTTGTGGTGTTCACTGAGTTATCAGGGGATGCATGCTTTTATGGGTAGGATAAGGACAGCAGGAAGGCAGGTCTTTCTGTAAATGGTTAGTGTGAAAAACTGTCTGCCCATTTACTGGGAGTAATCCTAAGCACTATCAACTTGGATTCAGTATGGTGGACCTTCCAGATTATGTGCTTATTTCAAGAATCGCTGTGCTTCTATTCTTTTGGGAGGTTGATCACCTGTAGTGCAATAGCAAACCATTGTTTTTGAATGAGGGCAATGTTGTAAATAATGTCTAACTTTTTCACCTTTTCACCATGCTTATGAGAATGAACTGCTTTGAATGCTACTACCGTGAGACCCTCTGGCTACCTGGTCACCTAGTGCTAGCTCTGCATTGCATGGTGGCACATGTTCTTGCACTTTTGTGCCTCTTCTGTAGACCACATCCAAAGTCACATGCACTAGATTCCTTGACTACATTTTTGCTGTCTTATATAAGAAATGACTGAAGGGTTTGCAGTGTCATCCATCAGCACACAGGATGATTACTTATGTATGTGACCTTCCTTTTTGGATTTAATTTGGCTCCTTGTCTCTCTCTGCCTCTGTCTTTGTCTCTATCTCTTTCTCTGTCTCTGTCTCTATCTCTTTCTCTGTCTCTCACTCTGTCTCTTTTTATTCAATTCTCTCTCGAATTTGTTTTTTGAATTTTATTTTTGGCACCATGGTTTACAATACTGTTAGTGGCAGGGTTTCTTGCATGAATTGTTTCAGCACTAAACCCTCTACCAGAGTGTCTGCTTCCCTCCACAGTGTGCCCCCCTCCCCATCATGTCCTCCCCATCACACAGCCCCCCACCAACCCCCGCTCCCGTGAGCTTCCTCCTCAAGACCAGTTCTCATTTGGTTGTCTTTGGACATTTGTTATTCTAATATATTCCCTTCCCTCCCTCCCTCCTTTTCTCCCACCTGTTGTAATTGAAGTTATTTAGAAGGATGTGAGGGAAAAGAGAGAAGTATGTGTTTGAAAGAGGACACAGCCTACTCCAGAGTACAAATAGGTAAGCTGAGAGACATAAAGACAAGTACGGATACATCTTCAAGAACTTGAAAGGCAAACCTCCCCTACTTTTATTTCTTTATATCACACACATGAAAGAGATCATTCTCTATCTGTTCCTTGCCTTCTGTCTAACTTAACTCGCATAATACTCTCCAGATGCATCCACGTAGCAGCAAATTGAATTGCATGATTTCATTTTTCTCACAGGTGAGTAGTATTCCATTGAATATATATGCACTATAATTTCTTTACTCAGTCATATGTTCTTGGTTGTTTCCGGATATTGGGCATTGTGAACATTGCTGCTAAGAACATAGATGTTCAGATGTCTTTTCTAAATAGAGTTTGGGGGCCCTTGGTGTAGATACCAGGAAGTGGAATTGGTGAGCCATAGGAAAATTCAATTTCTAGTTTTCTGAGAAGTGTCCATATTATTTTCCCAAAAGTTGGACATTCATGCCAACACTGGTTGCTTTTTTTCCCCTTTGTAATGTGTGCCAGTCTCACTGGTGTGAGATGATACCTTGTTTTGATTTACCTTTCTCTGAAGATAAGTGATGCAGAACAATTTTTTCATATACCTTTTGGCCATCTGTTCTTCTCACAGGGCCAGTGGAGGGGGGTTGTACCACACCAGATTGTGCTCAAATACTCCTGGCTCTGTAGGATATGTAATTGGGTTGGCCACATACAAGTACAAGACAAACACCCTAAATATTGTACTGTTACTCCCACCCCACCTTTTGGTCATCTATATATGTTCTTTGAGGATGTTTCTGTTTAAAACCCAAGCCCCCACCAGTTTTGTGATGGGGTTGATTTTTTCCTGTGAACTTCTACAAGTGCTCTATGCACCTTGGTTATTAACCATTTATCAGAGGAGTGGTGAGCAGATACTCTCTCTTGGTCTATAGGATGTCTTTTCATCTTGGTCAGCATTCTTTTACAGTTTCTTCGCTATTCTTGGTACAAACAGGGATCAAGGCATAAGCTAGGATGATAATAGGGTAAGATTAATAATTAGTCTTATTGATTACTCTCATTGCCTTTAAGCCTATACTTTGCTCAAGCAATGTAGGAAAAGCTTCCTGTGACAGGCTTCTTCCATTATGGAAGACATAATGGTGTGTGTGTGTGTGTGTGTGTGTGTGTGTGTGTGTGTGTGTTTAAATTGAATCACTGTAAAATATAAAGTTATTGTACTAAGCTGTTCATTGTTGGGTTTCAGTCAATGTTCCAACATCACGCTAGTGTACATTTCCCAGCACCAGTGTTCCCAATATCCCTCTTCCTACCCACCCACGCCATCCTGACTTTATGGCAGGTACTTCTCTCTCTCTCTCTCTCTCTCTCTCTCTCTCTGTCTCTCTCTCTTTGGGTCATTATGGTTTGCAGTACAGCTACATGTTTGGTCTTTTATCCACTTTCAGAGTGTATCTCCCATCCCGAGCAATCACTCCCAACCATCATTGTTCTTCTCTATCCCAAATGCCCTGTCAGGGCATAATGTGGTTTTAGCATTCAGTTCCTCAGAATAGTTGGCTGCTTTTTTTTTCCGGCCACATTCAGCACTGCTCATGGTTTATTCTCAACTCTGCTCAGGGGTCACTACTGGCTGTGACCCAGGGACCATATAGGGTGCCACGGATTGAATGCAGGTTGACTGTATACAAGGTGAGCATCCTACCTGCTATACTTTGACTTTGTCTCCCCTCAGATTAATCTGATCCCCTTCCAGATGTTGCCAAACATGTTTTGGGTTTCATGCGAGAGATGACCGAGCTGTCTGTAGTGGCCATTCAACAGCACAGAAGTGTAAACTCAGTCTGTTGACTCTGGCTAACAAACTTTGTCCATAAGCAGCTGGGATCTTTGAGAATTCCTTTAGTGCTTTCCCATTGAGATGATAATGTGAACTAATTTTTAAGTCAGAAATGCCTCATTTCACCTCATTCTAGCTCCCTTTTCTTCCTGCTCTGTGGTAGTCTCTCTACTTGGTCCACCAGTTTTGCCTTCAAAAACATGTAAATGCTGGTGACCACGGGTAATAATTGAAGTAATAGGCTTGGTAGAGAAATGACTATCCAGCTATTCTATCTGGTCTGTGGTAGTCATATTCCTACTGCCTGAATTCTTTGAATACTGATTCTGTTTTTGATCCTTTTGCTTAGTTTTATTTTTGTCTATAGAAATTCTCTTAATTATATGTATATACCTATAGTTTTTCTTTACTTAGAATGGCATCATTTTAGGTTGTATTTCTAATAAAATTCTGATGTGATTGTGTTCATTAGTTTCTCATATTGCTACATTGAGAAATTATAAGGATCGTAACTAGGATGAATCAGTTGGCGATGTGGCTTAGTAATCACCATGATGCTATAGTCTGTTAAGTTTTTCGTTTGTGCCAAACACTAGGCTAGTTCCTGTGCCCAGGTAATGTACATCATCAAACAGAGTCATTAATACCATATTTATGAAGTTATTTTTACAATGGCTGCTATATTTATTCAACAATATTTTATTATTCTGTGTTAATTATATGCTAAACATAATTCTGTAGACTCTGTGTTGTTAGATACAAAATCCTTTAACAGCTTCTTACTGTTAGCTCCTAATTACTGATCCTAATGACTCCAATTGTTACTACAACAACCCTATAAGAGGTAGCTACTATACTATTATTATTTCCCTTCGAAATTGCCCCCTCATGATTAAGATGATGTAACCACCGCAGAATTTTACAACAGCTTTTGAATTTGGAATTTGGATGCACGAATTTTGATTTTGTATTCTTCTCCAAACATTACATTGCTTCTAGTTACAAATCTAAGAAATATTCTAGTAATAACTACTTTATGGAATTATGAGACAGCTCTGATTATTGAAAGAAAGTCTCTTCATTCAAATGAAAGTTTGTTTGGCTATAGATTGGCAATTAAACTAGCACTTAAGGGGACTGAGCGATAGAACAGCGGGTAGGGCATTTGCCTTGTACACGGCCGACCCGAGTTTGATTCCCAGAATCCCATATGGTCCCTTGTGCATTGCCAGGTGTGACCCAAAAAGCCTAAATAAATAAATAAACTAACTGGCACTTAAAGTATTTAATTGATATCACTTTAAAAAGAAAAAGCAAATGCATTTTAGTATTTCCTATTTTAGATTTTTTCTAAGCATAGAATTATTCCCTCCTCCTTCCTACCTCTTTCTCATCCTCTTTCTCCAACTTTCTACCCACTTCAGAAACTTCTCTCCCTACTTCTCCCTTTCTTTCATGTTTCTTCCCTTCATTATCCCTCCCTCCCACAAAATCAGTCCATTTTTCTTTCTCTTACTTAGACACACACACACAGTGTACATTTGTAGAATGATTGAAATATACTGTACCAAAGAGTAATCTTTGAATAGTGAAGAAAACCAGTGACGACCACCTTTGTTATCTCTGCAGGTCTTTGCACACATATATAGAATAGATGTAGGTCTGCAGGTGTGCAGATGTTGAAAAAACACAGTTTTAGAAATTCTAAGGAGGTTTTTTTCCTTAGGAAATGACTGTTGGAATTCCTGCTAATCTTATTTTCTTTGGTTATAATGTTGAACATAAAGGTCTATCAAAGATCCATATTTGTATTGTCACCCTATTGAAGAATAGTTTGGAAAAGGAGTTAGCAAAATAAGTAGTCCTTTAACACTTGAGTATTTCCCCTCCCAATTTTCACTTCAGTTTTATTTTATAAGCATATAAGCATAAAAATATTAAAAATACCCTAAAGAAAGGACTTCTGTTCATTGTCAACCACACCTATGTGTAATTGCTACCTGCAACCCGTCATGATTTCTCTCTAACGTTGTGAGGCTTGAATAAAGGCCACTGATTACCAACCGTGTGTGTGTGTGTGTGTGTGTGTATGTGTGCGTGTTTGTCTGTGTATGTAATTAAGCCATGCCACGAAATCAAATCTCTCATTTAATTTTCACAATATTACCTCAGAGCGTATGTAGAAATGTGTTTCAGTGAATAAATGAACAAAATTATGTAGAGATAAATAGTATTTGATCATACTTTAGTAAGTATTTGTTCAGTGTCTTCTGCGTACTAAGGCCACTTCTAAACATTTACACCATAGCGCTAGACACAAGAACCTTGTTTGGCTCATTCCAGTGAGGGAATTGAGGAAGAGGATATGTGAAAAATAGTTTATATATTTAGAAAATGGTTGATACTTTGTACCAGCATCGCTGGCACCTAGGGTAAGCCGAGACACTTTCAGTTTGTGCAAGGAGGTGTGTTCAGATCAAGAAGGGGCTTGAGGGAGAAAGGCAAAACTGGGGACTCAGCGTGTAGTGCTAGTGCTGAGGCAGGACTTGAGACTTTTCTGTTGCAGTCAGGAAGGAGCCTGTGAAGTTTCCTATGCCTGAGAGTGGCACAACCAGGATTAACTTCTTTAGAGTGGTACTTGCTTTTGAATTAATCTTCCTAGATATCCACCTGCCAAATACGCTAGTTATTTTCTTTCTTTTAATGACATTGTTTAACATGATTTCTCTATTTTAGGAGGAAGAGTTGAGAAAAAGTGGAGAAGCCAAGTACTTCCACCTCAATGATGATCTGCATGTTTTAATTGAAGTTTTTGCCCCGCCAGCGGAAGCATATGCCCGGATGGGACATGCCTTGGAAGAAATTAAAAAGTTCCTCATTCCTGTTAGTATTTGGATGTTTAATTTTTTATTTAAAGATGTTTTTTAAATCCTTGGTAATAGTTATAAGAAATTGTTATTTGTATAGCTCATGTATTTTGTTTAATTCTTGTGTCCCTGTGAATTACTTATTCTTCCCTTATATATGAGGCAGTTGGATTTTTAAAGGGCATAAATAGCATTGCTAAGATTGTACAGTTAAGAATATTGAAAAATAATCACTATTGTGGACTCCAAGTCCTTTTAAGTTCTTTTGTGACACTAAAATGACCTCACAATTTTATCATTTATTGTCACACAGAGTACTAGTTCTTTCAGTATACCAAGCTTTACGCTTTGTGTGAAGCGTACAAAGAGAAATGAGAGCTCTCCCTGCCTTTTAGGAATGTTTAGTTTAGGGAGGAAGAAAAAATTCATCAGAGGAATCAGTACAGCATGATGAAATTAACAAATGTAAGCTTGATGAACAAGAGAGGAAAGGCAAATAGATAATTGGCATAGCTAGTTTGCTTTTGCCAGGTTTGGGGGTTTGGGGATTTTTGGGGATAGGGACACCTTTTTTTTTGAAGTTGTTTTTGTTTTTTTGTTTGTTTGTTTGTTTGTTTGTTTTGAGTTACACCCCCAGCGGGTAGGGTGTTTGCCTTCAGCCAACCCAGCTTCAATTCCTCAGCCCCTCTAGGAGAGCCTCGCAAGCTACTGAGAGTATCTTACCTGCACGACAAAGCCTGGCAAGCTGCCCATGATGTATTCCATATGCCAAACATAGTAACAACAAGTCTCACAATGGAGATGTTACTGGGTCCGCTTGAGCAAATCGATGAACAATGGGAGGGTAGTGCTCCAGTGCTACAGAGCTACACCCAGCAATACCCAGGGCTTATTTCTAGCTATGCACCAGGGATTATTCCTGGTGGACTTGGGGAACCATATGGAGTTTGAAAATCAAATCCAGGTTGACTGAGTATAAGGCAGCACACTGTCCTCTGTTTGCCCCCCCCCCTTTTTTTTTATATAATTGAGATTTTTTAAAACCTTTGTAAAACTCCTCAAAATTGCTCAGAATGTGATAATTCAAAGAAGTACTCCTACTTTCATTAAAAAAATTAATTTAGGTCTTTTATTTAATTTTTTTGTAGTTTATTCCAGATTAAAGAACTGAAACATCAAACACTTAATTATTTGGAGAATATAAATTTGCTTAATCTACACAAGTTCTTATTCATGCCAAAAAACTGTATGAAATAAAATCTTGTGATTACCAAGCTTTTATAGATCAGTTCTCATAGTTCAGCATGTGCATTTGGATGATAATGTCTATGAAGAGTGCTGTTCTGTTTAAAGAGAAAGCATGTATTAAACCAGCATTTTCTTAGAAAAAGCACGTGGGATTAGATTATAATAAATATTTTACTTGGAAACAAAATAGTATTCTTTTTCATTCCTGAGTTCAGTATCACTATTTCTATTCATTTTAAGACACTGCTTTCAGTCTGATAGAAATAACTGATACAGGTTATCGTATCCATTTTTATAGAGTCTAATGATAGAGATAAATAGAAGCTAATCATAAAAATAATTTTTTTATTTTCAGAATTTTTATTATGAAATACAGACAACCATTGCATTTTTTATCTTAATCACTATAGTACTTAATCCAGAAATGGAGAAGCTTCAGGATTATCTTAAATTCATGATAGAATATGAAAGGATTGTCAAGAATTTAATCCTTGTGACAACATCCTGATTAATTTCTATTTATGCAGAGAACTCCAGGCCAAGACAGTTTAGGAGAAAATTTCTTACACAAAACCATTGTTTTCATTGTACACTTTAGGGAAGCTCTTGTTCTCTTTTGAGCAAGTATATCTCCTTCTCTCTTATATTTACCAAATCACCTTCTTTTTCTTTACTGAATTTTTTTTAAATGGCTATCTTTTTAACAACTTGACAGTGATGTGCATGTTTATTCTTGCTAAAATTCATAGATCTGCAGGTTTGTTTTCAGATGTGAGAATTTTCAACTACTGTTTCTTTAAACATGTTTCTCCTGCCTTTGTTCTGCCTTCCTATGTTCTTTCCCATCCCTGAATTCTTTTTATGTCTGTATTGACCCATTTGATACTTGCCACTTATCTTCAAGGCTCATTCGTCTTTACTTTTTTTCCTGTGTTTCTTAGACTGGATTATTTTAATTAACCTTAATACAAATTTTCTGGTTCATTCTTTTGTCATATCATATCTGCTAGTGATGGCCTCTTGGTCTCTGGTGAATTTTTCATAGCAGTTATTTTTTTCCCCAAAAATCTCTTTATCCCACTATTCAACGTATGTGCCCCTCCAAGCAGGTATCTTCAGCTACTTGTTTTTTTTTTTCTTCTTCTGAAACTGTTGATTTTTCCTTTTGACTTTCATGCCTCTTAATTTTTGCTCAATAGTACACATTTAATAAATAACATATTGAGTCAAGTCCACATTCTGATTCATTCTACCTTGAGTATTGTTGCTTGTTTTTATTTTTTTCTTATTTAATAATTGGACTGCATATCTCTGTAAGATACAGAGATATGTAAAGATTTCTAGGACCCACAGCTAAGGCTGTCTTTTTTAATTTTTTTCCTTCTCATTTTTATCCTGCTATTAGTTTTCTCTTGGTACTGTTGAATGTTTAGCCACTGACTCATCAGATGTTTTACTCTAACACCTGACCGTTAAGTTTTTCAACTACTGCTGATGGAAGTTTGAGTATACTGGAGCACATACAAAAACTCATCAGTGTTCATATCTGTCTTGGCTTTTACTCTTCATCAGGATTCCTTGTTACCTGCTTTGCATGTGTACAAAGTTCCATTCAGGCAAGAGTGTAGAGAGCTGTAGTATTTCTTATGTTCTTTGCTGTATCTTTAATTCAGAGTGCTATAAGCATACAGAGGGTTCATCAAAGTTTTATAGGATGTTTTCATTTCCTCGACCTTTGTTAACTTTTTGAGCCATTTGACAGTAAGTTGCTTGTCCCATCCAAAGCTGCAGTTTTGGTTTTGAGAATCACTTAGTCTTCTCTTTTCATTTGCTACCATTATTGCTATTGATAATGATATTGATAGTGCTGCTGATTCTGTTTTTCTATTTTTTCATTTTTTAATTTTTATAAAGTTGTTCATGATTTATTACATTCAATATTCCAACACCAATCCCACCACCATTGCACCTTCTCACCACCATTTTGTCTAATTTTCCCAACCCCCCCTCTAGTCTGCCCCCTATAGCAGGCCCTGAATACCTTATTTTGTATTGCTTGCTATAATTTGCTAAAAATGATAAAAATTTCCTTAGAGGATAGTGTGTTAATATTGTTGTATCTTACCATGGAGTCGTTAAGGCCTTATAGAAGAGATTACTAACAAGCAGTGTTTGTCTTTTCTTTATCAAGGTTGGTTGCCTTCTACTTTATATCCCATCTAATGTGCTGTACTACTCTTGGATTATCAGTGGTGTAGTTTGAGATATGTGATAGAGGAATTCAAAAATTCTGTATGGGGTGTTACAAAGTTAAATTCTTAAATGGATGGTGACTTTGGGTGTCATTGATGTCAGAGTCTGGTGTGGGGTCTGGAAGTATCTCTACAACTTGTTGATCTCTTTTTAAGATTTATTTGAGTCTCTGAATCATTGCCAGTAAATGAATTTATTTGGAGCCAGAGGCAGTTTATGGCCATGACTGCCAGGCTTCCAGAAAATCAGAGAGACAGGAGGAGGTAGCCAGTCCCCAACTCCATGAGTGCCTGGAGATTTCAGTCATAAAACCCACGTACCTGAGTTTTTCAGCAGATCAGTTTTTGCCTACAGAATAGTCTTCTTCATTCTAGTGGAACTCTAAAACATTATCTGAATTTGGGGAGGCGGATGGGAATATCCCCAGGGCATAATGCAAGAGACACAGTATTATCAGAGCTTTCACAATTTTTCACAATTTTTTTTGTACTATATAACTGGTAAATTTTCAGAGTCGTGTAATGATTATTTTTGATCATTTGGTCAGCTTTCATTATTTTTTCCACTGAATTCCTTAGTATTTACACATGATTTGATCCCTTTTCTTCTTTTCGCAGTTGATGACAATGTTTGTATTAATGACATGATTATTTTACTTTTCAGATGAGGAATTAAAATATTTATTTAATAATGATTATATTTTAAAATTATAAAGATAATTATATTATAATATAAAATTATAAAGATAACTTAATCTCTAAGCTACCAGGTATGACTTAGATTTTTACTGATTTAAAATAATTATTTTGAATACTAAGAATATTGTAATATATGTGAGATGTGTGTGATATATTAATAGTCATGCACACCCTTAGATCACATACATGCCATAAAAATACATTCACGATTGTCTACTTCGGAATGTAATTTTGCAACAATTTTGTTTAAAATTATCTTTAGCTCAGGTTTTGGGGATAGCATTGTAAGCAGCTAACTTTGAAAATTACTATTTAAAAATTAAACATGTTTTTGAAGAGAATTCAGTTACCTTATTTTCTCTTGTATCTACTTTTTACCACAAAATGTTTTTGTCACATCCCTTAACACTTTCAGCAGTGCAAATAATTAACATTATATAACACATTTTGTTTAGAATGCCCTTTAAAATTCTTTAATTAATCTTCACTTTTTTATGAAATATTAAGGAATCTATGGGCTTATTTTAGAGATTGTAATAATGATACATTCATATGACTTTTGAAGTCACACTTTGTCAAATTATGGAAGGAATCTCTATTTACAGAAAAATCTAGATTATTGATCCCTTTTAGCCTTTCTTGTTGATCTTAGTAATTTAAATTTTCGTTCATTTGAATTTACTTCTTCCTGCTCTACTGTTATTATCTGATTATCATTTCCATTTTTAGTGTTATTTGTGTTTTTTCTATAGCATTATGTTTATGCTGTAAGTTCAAGTCATGGTTTTTTCTTGAATTTTACTGGAAAGCAAGGTGCAGTTTTTTAAGCAATCAGTTTTATAATTATATTTCATTTTTATTTCATAATAATATAGGAAAGTCTCTGAATTCTATCCCTACACCGCAGGCATGCTTGTGATACTTCTGTAATAGATACATATTTTTTCTTTTTTGTGCCCATGTAACTTGAAAGGCTTTTGACCATGAAGTTTTAATTTAATTCAGATAAATTCCATGTAATCCTTCTCCTCTGAAATGTCTTCCAGCTCCACTTATCCAAACTATTTCTGGAGTTGGTAGTGCATTTGTTATGAATCCTGTTCAGTAATAGTGTTGACTGTTTTATATATTGTGAATGCAGCACTGACGTTTTCTAATGTGATTACTCTATTATTTTCTATTAATTATCCTGAGCCCTTCCCTTCCTCTTTGAATGTGCACTAACCCATCCATTCTATTGTCCAATTATCTTTACAAATGCCATCAGTTCCCTCACAATTCAACTCAAAAATTCTCTCGAAGGAGTTACAGAACTCTGAAATTCTATCATAGTCTATGATTATGATTTTTTGGGGAAGATAGATATTCAGAGTATATAAACATGGTAACTTTTATTTTTTTTAGTAAAACACCATGAGGTACAGTTATAGACTTATAAATTTTTTGTGCTTGGGTTTCAGTTATACAATGATCAAGTACCCATCCCTCCGCCAGTGCCCATCCTCCACCACCATGGGTCCCATCATCCCTCTCACCCCCCTCATCCCACCCTGCCTCTGTGGCAGGGCATTCCCTTTTGTTCTCTCTCTCTCTCTCTCTCCTTTTGGGTCCTGTGGTTTGCAAGAGAGGCATTGAGTGGCAATCATGTTTGGTCTATCTATAGTCTACTTTCAGCATGCTTCTCCCACCCTGGGAGGATTCTCCCAACACCCTTTATTTGGTGCTCTCTTCTCTATCTGAGCTTCCTTTTCCCCTAGCACGTGTGGCTGGCCTCCAAGTCATGGAGTAAAATTCCTGGTACTAATCTCGGCCACTCCTGGGTGTTAGTCTACCATTTTGTTGCTTTATGTTCCCCTGATGAATGCAATCCGACTGATCAAAATCAGCATTGAGGCGTGGAGTATTGGACAGTCAGGAAAAGGTTTCCCAGCACTCCTATGTAAAGCACCTATGACATGTTGTAATTAGAGAAACTCTCTAGATTCAGGTACTAGTGAGACCACAGTCTTTTTATGTTTTGTTTTTTCTTTTCTCTCTTCTTTCTTCCTTTCCTTTCCCCTCCCTTCCTTCTCTCTCTCCCTCCCTCCATTCCACCTTTCCTTTTCCTTCCTTCTTTCCTTCCTTCTTTCCTTCCTTCTTTCCTTCCTTCCTTCCTTCCTTCCTTCCTTCCTTCCTTCCTTCCTTCCTTCCTTCCTTCCTTTTACTTTTTCTCTTTTCTTTTCTTTCTTGGTTTTAAGTCACAGGGGTAATGCTCAGGGCTTATTCCTACCTGTGCTCTCAAGGATCAATCTGGTGGTGTTTGAGGGACCATAAGGAATACCCAAGATCAAATCTGGGTCAGCCATGTTTAAGGCAAGTGCTCTACCTGCTGTACTACTTCTCTGGTCCCATAGGTCCAGTCATTTTTGGCATGCAGTACCTTTGCATCTGAGTTCAGTTTCTCATTTTTTTTAACTTATGTCATATGTTTCTTGATGATTATTAAATGGAATTTGGTATATTAATATAAGGAGAGGAAACTATTAGGAGTTGCAAAATTTCTAAGTTGGATATATGCACAGTATTGTAAAGTGGAAAAAAAGGCAGCAGTCTAACAAGAGTAAGGTAGATTTCTCTTTAAAATGTCAAATTTACTATTCAATACTGTTCAAAACTTAGTACTTTTAGTAGAGCTGAGTTCTTTTGCTCTAGAGACTTTGATTTTTTTAAGTGCTCATTAACTAAATGTTGAATTGACTTGTTTGGTGTGTGTATATATATATATATGCATATATGTATATACACATATTTACAATTGTTTAATATGGTAAATATGCCTAGAGAAAAAGTACAGCTGATTGTATATAATTTTAGTTTGAGGAAAACCATAACTTCTTATTTATAACAACTATTTACGCTTTTCATTTTAACAAGATCAAATTTTGTTTTTGCATTCTTTTCTTAACCCTGTTTTCTACAAAAATTATTACTGAAACTTGTTCTTTTCTATTTTTTTATAGAAAGTGATTTGTACCATCTTTTATCTCCTCCATAGGACTATAATGATGAAATCAGGCAAGCACAGCTCCAGGAATTAACATATTTGAATGGTGGTTCAGAAAATGCAGATGTCCCAGTTGTTCGAGGGAAGGCTACCTTGCGAACTAGAGGCTTGCCAACTCCAGCCATAACCAGGTAGGTGTAATTAATTGATTTGAACGGTTGTGATAGGTTATAATATGATACTTTAAATGTTTTCTTTATTAATAGTCAAGGAACTCTTGTAGTGTATCAGTGAAGAAGCTATAAAAATATATTCAAGCAGTATAACTTGATTAGAGAATTCACTTTGGAGGCTGAAGCGCAGTTCCATTATCCTCTCGTTTTGGTTGCTCTTTACACCACAGTGGAGTGAGGTTGTCCAGTAATTGTTTTTCCCCTGTATGTAATGTCCTCTGTATCTTATAGAATCTCTATTGCTACCATTTTCCAAGAATCTACTCCTGCCATCAGTGAATGAAGGTTCCTTTGTGTTTGATTTTTGCTATCTTTGCCAGTGAAGTCAAATCTTTGAAGATACCTCTTAAGATAACTTAAGCTGGAGACTTAAGCTTCTGTTTTCCTCAGTAAATTTTGTGACTTTGGATAAAATCTTGAAGCCTTTAATCCATTTTGTCTTGCGTGATGTGAGATACAAATCCCAGTTTCTTTCTTTCATTCTGGCTTTTTCCCCCATGTGGATATGTTATTTCCCTAATACCTTTTGTTGAAGAGACTTTTCTTGTTCCACTTCATGTACCCATTTTGTCCTTTTTCTTCTTTCTCTTCAGTTTTGTTATTTGCATGTAGAAATGCAACCAATTTATGTGTTTTTACTTTGTAGCCCACTGCATTGCTGTAATGATTAATTCTTTCTAAGAATTTTTTAGTGGGTCTTTTACATTATCAGTATCTTCATGTGAGACTTTCACTTCTTCAGTGTGGATTCTGCTAATTTTGTCTTCTTGCCTGATTGTTTGGATGAGTACTTGCAAAACTATATTAAACAATAGTATAGACATTGACAAGAAGAGTAACATCCTTGACTTGTGTCTGAATTTAGAGTAAAGGTCTTTAAGGTTTCATCATTGATCATGCATTTGGTGTGTTTATTTCTGTCTTGCAGTATTCTTGAGAGTATTTTGAATGAATATTGAAACTTATCGAAAAATGTTTCTCAATCAGCTTATATGACCATGTAGTTTCATTTTTTGTTGATTTGTTGCATTAAACTAATTGATTTGCCTATATTAATACATTGTTGCATCCCTAAAGTGAGTCTTATTTGATCATGATGCGTGATGGATCTTTTTGGTGGTCTATTGGATTAGTCACTCAAGTTTTATTGGGGATCTTTGTATTGATACGCATCAGGGATATATCTGCATCTTATTTTTTTACATTGATGATAAGGCATTACCCCCACCCCTCAGCCATTCAATACTTTGTTGAGACCTTCAGAAAACACCCTCTTTGACTATTGCTTCTCACTCCTGCAGACAGCAGAGAAGGAACTAGAAAAGTAACATGGTGTAGAATGAATGGCCTTTTAGCAGCATACTTTTTTTTGCTTTAGGTGGGCTTTTTGTTTACCCCTGAGTTTATCTCTACTCCACACTTTGCCTGCTCTTTAGATATCTGGATAAGACCACCCTGCTGCACAGTTGCTCTAAGCATGCAGGAATGCTCTTTTCCTCTCCTCTCTTCTAAGTATCTTCCTTGTTCTATGTTACTTTTCACAAATCTTTATTCTGGGCCTGGTCTTTTGTCCTAAATAGAGGCAATTTTGCCTTCTAGCATTTGATAACTGAATTATCAGACAGAAAATAGTTAACAGGCAATGTTAACTGTGGCACTCTAAAGAGATAAATGCATGCTTACCAGTATTGGGACTAGAATACTCTGATTTTATTTTAACTTAAGAGACATTAGGCTTTTACAGCTCTCATTTTAATAGAGGGAATTTAGGTACTTTTTTTTCTTGTTTTTTAATTTCCTTTCTTGAGCTGCAATTGTACGTGTGAGGTCTTATGACTGTACTTCCTGACTGTATGCTGAGGTGTTGGATGCTGTAGAGCACCATAGGGATTGCCATGGGATAGTTTAAATTTTTATAGGCACACTGTAATAATCAGGATTGCTTAGACTTTGCATTAACTATTAGCTAAGTAAATCATTTATAGTTTTATCATTAGAATATTCTTCATGGATTATAATGAAATCTGGGAATCTGGTAGTTCTGTACTTGCTGTGATAACAGTGAACAATGATGAACATTGGTGTGGATGAGAAACTACCAAGATAGAGGAATTGGGGAAAAAACAGTAATTAAAGTATGAAAATTACAACTAAATTATTTTGTAGTTGTAATCTAAAATGCTGGAGCGATAGCACAGCGGGTAGGGTGTTCGCCTTACACGCGGCCAACATGGCCGACCCGAGTTCGATTCCTCTGCCCCTCTCGGAGAGCCCGGCAAGCTACCGAGAGTATTCGATATGCCAGACACAGTAACAACAAAGTCTCCAATGGAGACGTTACTGGGCCCGCTCGAGCAAATCGACGATCAACGGGAGGGCCTTTACCTTACCTTTACCTTTACCTAATCTAAAATGCACTTGTACAATGACTGGTCTTTCTGATAGAACAGTAAATAGCTTAGTAGGGGAATGATCAGATGATTTTGCTTTAGCTAGAAAAAATATCAGCGATATTTTCCTGAGTTCCAAGTAGTAGTCACTGGGCCTGCTCGAGCAAGTAGTAGTAGTTATTGACTGACTTGCAGAATTACTCCTGAGGCCTCTGAATCACTTCCCACACATGAACTCCCCTGGTCATACTTATAGTAGCTGCAGGTAATTGGAGTCACAGGCTAGTCAGGTTGATGAGGAAAAATGGAACTGACCAAAGGACTTCTGTGGTATTCTTTGTGAAGTTATAGCACTGATGAAAAGAGTCAAGTACAGAAAACTCTGGTACAAAGCCCCAGGCTAAATATAAAGAATGAGGGACCTGTTCTCAGATGTTGAAAACTTTTCAGTGTATTTTTAATGCTTATACTTTTTTGAACACTTTCTGAAGGTTTTTAAGATAAGCATTGTGGTTTCAGAGCAGGTAGGGCGATTGCCTGCACACAGCTGACCTGAGTTCAGTCCTCAGCACCTTTTTGTCCCTGAGTGCCACCTGGAGTGACTCCTGAGCACAGAGCCAAGAATGACCCCTGAGCATTGCCAGGTGTGGTCTCCAAGCAAACAAACAGTAACCAAAAGAGATGGATTTCTTCTCATATTTTCACATTTGTTGGGTGATTTCCCCTTTGTTTGATTTTTAAATAACAATTTCCATAATTACTGCAGTTTCTGTAGTAACTGCAGTTTGTCTGTTGCAAATCTTTTCTTAGGATCTAAGCATACTATGTATTCCCTACTATTTCTAATTTCATATAGTGATTCCGTTACTTAGTTCATTTCCATCCACTTTGGATTGGGGCCCTAATAGACAAGGGTGGCTTTTGTCTTGCATTTCTGGATTCCAAGGACGTTATGAAACTTAGTGTATTCTCATAAATTTTAACTTAAATAATAAATGAATGGAGGTCAGATTTTCAAAAATCTAAGAAATTTCTAAATGTTCTTGAAACAAGAATACACTCCCCACCATTCAGTACCACAATTTATATGTTCCTTTATGATTGATTCATCATCATAACACTAAAGAAAAATACGCATGTTGTGTGGGGCTGAATAAAGATTTTTCAGTTTAAATTGCATGCTCAATGGATGCTGGAATTGAAAATTTTGCCAGGTTTACCCTTGAACGGACAGCACATAGAAGTTATTAATCATATGATTATAAGTTCTTGAACTATCATTTTACATAGAAAAGTGAAATTTAGACTGACATAAACCAAAATTCAAATATCACTGTCCTTAATATTTAAGTGGTCATTAGGAAGTCAGCTTTATTTTTCAATATGTTAGATATGCTTTCCCTGAAGATTAAATGCAGTATTATATGTGTTTGATTACTGTTATATTTGGCACATAGCCCCATACAAAAATTATTTCCTGCATATGCATACATATACACACGCATAAATATATTAATCTCGCGCATCTAACTTTCAAGAATGTGAGAATATTTTAACTTTTATAGAATCTTTATTCAGAACATTGTGTGTTTAAAATTTTTAGATCCTAAATTCATGATACCATAAATCAAATAATATAAGAATAAAACATTGATAAATTTGAATTATCCTTAAAAAGTAAAAAGATCAGTAACTAGTTCTCAACTTTAGATTATACCGTTTTTTAACTGTCTAGAAACTCCCAAAGGTTCTTATTCGTTTACTTTTTCTCACAATTCCATTAACAGAGAAAAATATTTTTAAAAATCCGAAAAACTATTAAGAATTATTAAACTGTGTTTTGTGGAATTTTAGAATATAAAAGGCCGACAAAAATAAAACGCACTGAAGCATTTGAATAAGATGTTGGTAGAAGGGGCTGAAGCAATAGCACAGAGGGTAGGGCGTTTGCCTTGCACGCAGCCGACCCGGGTTCAATTCCCAGCATCATATATGGTCCCCTGAGCACTACCAGGGGTAATTCCTGAATGAAGAACCAGTAGTAACCCTTGTGCATCACCAGGTGTAACCAAAAAAGCAAAAAAAAAAAAAAATGCTGGCAGAAGGCTGCTAAGGAGTTAAGAATCTTTAAAGGAACCTGAAGAAATGGAGCTAAGAGTAGGTGTGGGGACAATTAGGTTATGAAAGTAAAACAAGCCTGCGCAGGGATGTTGCTGCCCAAATATTAAGGTTCTGAAGAACCAATAAAGAGTAGAAACGAGGTTTTCTGGAACAGTAAATGCAAATAAACCTTTCTTAGCAAGAATAACTCAGAATTGAAGGATATGTTTTAATTTGCATGCCTGTTCTGGGATTATGGGTTAAACAAAAAGCAATTATCTGTAGTAAGTCCATCAGGTTTATTACATATTTTAATTACAAATCAGTCTATTTCCAAAGCCTTGCTAAAATTAGGCTTAGATTTTAAACAGCCTACTATATTTTTTTTATTTGCTTAAATGGTATCCAGAATTCTATGGAAATAATTCTTTCCAAATTAAAAAATTAAACTTAGCACTATTAAAATTATGTCATTGAAATAAGACCTCAATTTGTTTTTCATAATTTCAGAAATTTTATGTCATTTCAACAGTTTAGGAACCTAGGTGTTTTTTTCTCACAAATAATTTTCTTCTTTTGAAGATCATAAATTATATTGCCTTTAAGAATTTTATGCTGAACTGTTTTATATCTATTATTCTGATGTACACAGAAATCAAAGTGTAGAATCACTATTCCTAATCCTTGAAATGTTCATAGAGGATTCAAAGTTCATAGAAAATTACAGTGCTAAATTGGATCATAAAATGACTGAACAAATGGATAAGAATTGTTATCAAAGAACAAATTTAGGTAAGGAATAAAGACCAGTTAAAATATCTTAAATTATTCCGTAGCTTCTGGGCTGGGGAAAAGTGCAATGGGTAGGGTTTTGACCCCTGGTTTGGTCCCTGGCACCCATATGGTCCCCCATACACCACCAGGATTGATTTCTGAGCACAATGTCAGGAGTATGCTCTGAGCACAGCCAGCATGCCCACAACAGTTTTTGTTTTTTAATTACCCAGCTTCAGGAGCACCAGGTTTATTCTTTCTAATAGTCATATGTCTTAAGAACTAACGCCAGGGTCTGGAGCGATAGCACAGCGGGTAGGGCGTTTGTCTTGCACGTGGCTGGCGCAGGTTCGATTCGCAGCATCCCATATGGTCCCCCGAGCACCACCAGAAGTAAGTCCTAAGTTCATGAGCCAGGAGTAACCCCTGTGCATCGCCAAGTGTGACCCAAAAAGCAAAAAAAAAAAAAATAGAACTAACTCCAGAGGTTTATGATCTGAGATGAACAAAGTTAGATATTTCTAGGAAGTGATTGCATGGTCTTCCTTTTCATCACCCTGGAAAACTATTTCTATTCACGTCCTGAACCCTTAATTCCAGAAGGTCTTTACAGAATCTTCTAAAGTCTTTCCTTGGATGGGGGAATGTGTTTGGGCAACACCTGGTGGTGCTTAGGACCTGGGGGTACAAGAACATATATAGGGTGCTGGGATCAAACCAGCGTCACCTGCACGCAAGGCAAATATCTTCAGTCCAGTATGATTTCTGAGGTCATGTCTTGTTAGCTGTTATATTACTATTGCCTGTGTCATGACCTGAAGTTCATTAGCCACTTAGTAAAATTCAGTGGATGTAGGAAGAAAACTTGAATTCTCTTTGTGAATGATTGCTGTGTATGTGTTTATCTTGATACACTTAAATTTATTTTTTATTTTAGGCATTGTGATTTAGAATTCTGTTAGTAAAATGGTTCATACACAAAACATCCCAACACTAAACCCTTCACCAGAGTGTTCACTTTTCTTCCACTATATTTTCAGATCCCACTCATACCCATCTCTCAAAGTGCTAAGCTTCTGTTGCCTTTGCATATTTGTTATTCTTTTTTCTTTAGTGTTATATTGTGTATTCCAGGTGTACTTGGTGTCCATCTATTCCAAACTTTCTGAGAGTTTTTCTCATAGATGATGGTACCACATTTTGTCATAAGCTTTTTCGTTTATATACAATTCTAAGATTAATCATATGATTATAAGTTCTTAAACTTTGTTAAGGTAATGGAACACATTGGTTTGCTAATGTTGAGCCAACCTTGTATCCCTTGTATACACTTGGTTGTGGTACATGATTTTTAAATTGGGTGCAATTCATTACTGTTGGATTCTATTATTTTAAGATATTTTTGCATTTCTGATCATGAGAGTTATTGATTTTAGTATTTTTGAATACAGACTTGTCTTTTGTCTCCTGAATGAATAGGTAGCTTAGTTTTTGTTTCCACTTGTATCCTATATGTCACCTTGGAGATGTCAATGTTCAGCTAGTAACCCCAGGGGATCCTTCCTGGAACACTCAACCCCTCCCCCGCCCCTACTACCTTTATACTTTCCTGAGTGTCAGAAGGGAATTTGGAAAAATAAATCTTGGGAAAAGTTCTTATGGAAGGTACCAATCAGAACTGAAAGCTAAACTGCACCAAGTCACTTCTGCTCTATATGACACAGAGATAGTCATATTCAGGGCAGTTATGTTCTCTACTTAGTAATGTAGAAATGAATTTCAATAATTTCAATGAATTTCTCAAGGGCTAGAAAGATATTACAGGAATTAAGGTGGCAGACCCTTGCATATAACAGACCCCAGATCAATGCTCAGTACCACGTAAGTTTCCCTGAGCAATGCCAGTTGTGACCACATAACAAACAAAAATAACCAGCCTCATAGAATGAATTAGGTTAGCTATGCCTTTAATTCTATTTTTTGTAGAAAACAAATTTCATTTCTTTAATACTTGATAGAACTCACTAATGCAAGAAGCATCTGTTATTTTAAATAATCATATACTGTCTATAAAAGACATTTTTCAGATTGTATAATTCTCTTTGAGATTCAGTTATTTGTATATTTCAAGCAATTACTCCAGTTTAAGTTAACAAAGTTGTTAGCAGGAAATTTTTCATATTCTTCTTTAATTATATTCTAGTTTCTTTGAGACCAGTAGTGATTTCTCTTATTTGTAACTTTTGTACTTGTTTAACAAACTTATTTTTGTTTTCAAATAATTTCATTTCTCTTTTTCATGCAACTAGCATTTGTTGTGTTTGCTTTCTTCTTTGGGTTAAGTTACTCACTTTATCTATGTTTTTTTTTCTTTTATTCTGGGGACACACCCAGTTATACTCAAGGTTTATTTCTTGCTCTGTGCTCAGGGATCAGTCCTGACAGTGCTTAGGGGCCTTAGTGGTACCACAGACCAAATCTAATTCAGGCATGCAGAAGGCAAACACCCTGTGCGCTGTACTACCACTCCAGCCTTCTGTTGGTTTTGGCTGTTTATTTGCTATCCAGATTAAACTAAGTAAGGAAAGAATTGATGTCTGTAATCATGCTGCCTGTTACAGTTCTCCTTATTTTGACCATGTTGTCTGTGGAGGTAGATCCAACTATGTCCTGATTTTCTGTTTCAATCTTATTTATGTGTCTTTATCTCTTCACAATTTCACATTTTTAAAAGATTTTGCTTATGTTGAGCCATTATTGATGCTACTGTCTCCTTCTGTCCTCTCTTGAAGTCTCATATTTTATGTTAGAAATTTATGAATATGTTATATTCTACTTTACAAAATGTCTATTCAATTTAATAATATTTTAATTACTTGTATAGTAAAACATTGAGAAAAGAATTCTCTTATTATGTGTGAGTATATACACAATATATATGTATAATATATATTTATCATATATTTTGTCCCTTGCATTGCTAGAAGTTTATAAGATCTTTGTAGCCCTTGGTTCCATTTCTGTGCAGAGAGAAAATAAATTACACTTTACTGTATTGGCATGAAGATTGGGTTATGCCATTAGAGAGAAATGCTCAGTAAACTCACCTATTCAGTTATCCTGCTTTTTTCCTCTGTATATGAGACAGAAGTTGAAACTTAGGTCTTCTTTAATGTTGGTTATATTTGTGATATAGACTGATTTTATTAAATATCTATTCCTGCCAAAATATTTTTAACTTATAGAGGTTTGTTTCTCAGTTGCACTTTTTAAATTACTTTGCCTGTAATTTCTTTAGTTTTCTAACAGAAATGTGGAACAGAGTGTTTTTGTGAGGCATGAATGTATGTGAACAATGAAATGTTAGAGATAAAGAAGAATATTGCAAATCTGCTTGCAGGGGAAGGGGAGGAGTCACAACCCGGCCAGTTGGAGTTGGTGTACCAAGAGGGACCGCCACTTCCAGGGGTGTCCTTTCTACTCGAGGACCAGTGAGTCGGGGAAGAGGACTTCTCACTCCCAGAGCAAGAGGCGTCCCCCCTACTGGCTATAGACCACCCCCACCACCACCAACACAGGAGACTTATGGAGATTATGTAAGTCAAAATTTGAAACAACTTAAGTGTTCTGATGGATCCACTGCAGATATTGCATTGCATATTGTAATCACATCCCTTCCCTCAGCTTGTTTTGTTTCTCAAATATTCCTTCTAAATTCAGCAGACATTTATTGAACTCTGTCTAAGTCCTTGGGACTAAATGAGGAATGCTGAGAAAACAGTAACTTCTTTCGAGAAATTGCTTAAATGTGGTATATGAAAAATAAATTTGAATAGTGGGAAGACTTACTGTCATGGAAACATTATCAGATCTTATAGGATTTTAATGTAATATTCTTTCATATCCCACTCCAGGTTTTTTTTTAACAATTTAGTCATTAAAAAATAATTGAGGTATGTCAGGCTGTATTTTTTTTTATCCTCTAAAGTATTTCCTCTAAAGCTCTGTTGTGAATATAAGTTCTTAATGAAAAGTCTTCAGTGAAGAAAACAACAGTCCCCATTTTTAAGATTAATGCAAAACAGCTTTTTCATTTACCACTCAGTAATTTTCTACCATGCTTCACAGCCTTAATAACATACAGAAAAGAAAAGATGGTCATAAATCTAGGTGGGAAAAGTAGGGAATAATTAGCAATAATCCTGAGCTCCTGGGATTCTTAGTCTCACTTTCTAATGTACCATAATTGAAGGAGTAATGTTTTATTTTAGCATTCAGAAAATTAAATAATATTTTGAAATGAGATTAAAATAAATGAAAATTGTTTTATGTTAGTAATATTAAAGAGAAATATGTGTATTGTTTAACAATGAACAGCCAGGAGTAAGCCTTGAGTGAAGCAGGATGTGACCCCAAAAAACAAAAACAGAAGCACCTTTTCACAGAGTTTCTGGAAGGTTGCACCTCTTTCCTGGGAAGTCTCCTTAGGATAGCCTAAGCTCTTCAGCTTCAGTGAGGTCAACTGGAAAAAGTTGGAAAGAGTGTCCTTATGTGCTAACATTTTGTATTTTTTGAACATGGCATGTTTTGTTTCCACACCCAACTATGCTCAGGGGTTACACCTGGCCCTGAGGTCAAGAATCACTCCTGGCAGTGCTCAGGGGATCATATAGGATGCCAGGTACTGAACCAGGTCAGATGCGTGCAAGGAAAACACCCTACATGCTACTATCACTCCAGCCCCATGAATATGGCATCTTCTTTTGTGCTTCCAGATTTTTGCTCTTGTGTGGCTCATTCTTTCTGCAACACTCATCTGTTAATTCATCTGATAGTTCCCTACTTTACCTTTTAAGTTTAGGTCAATTATTACTAGGAAAATTCAGAGGAGGTTAGTGTCCATTTGAGCATTACTGCAATTGTTCCTATTTCTCTCCTTTTTTTTGAAGGACCAGGATGAATGGCATTTGTCTTTATGTGCCAGAGAATTCACATGAGAAACTCTTTATTTTAATTTTTTTTTAGTTTAGGATTTCTAGATTATGTAGGTATACTGATGGCCAATTTAGAAAGTCTAGGGTTCTGTAGCCCCTAAAATACAAACATTTATCTACTCTTTTGGCAAGTGAGAAAGTTAAAATTGATCTTGGCATATACTAAATAATTTCTGAACTGAAATAATCATAAATAACATTCTCAATTCCATCAGGGAAAAGGTCACTCACCTTCTGCATTTAGCTCTCTGTTTTTAGCACTGATACTATGTGAGTCACATTAAGAGGGCTTTATTAATATTTGCTGAATGGAGAAATATTCTCCAGACTGAGTTTTGTTGTTGTTGTTGTTTTTTCGTTAGCACCATTTTGTCAAAAAAGGTATTAAAGGACTTAAATTAACAGATAGAAGAGATGCATGAATTGTGAGGTATGGGGAAAATGCAGAGTAACTTCATATGTCCTCAAGGACTCCCATTGTCTCACAATTTTATATGGTCACCAACCCAGAAACTCAGGATCCCTTGCTTGTGGATTTTTATGGAGACAGCTTTACTCAGGGCATACTGATGAACTCTGTTCATTGGCAGTTGAACTCAACCTCCAGTTCTCACCCTTCTGTGGAGGCCAGAGAGATGGGACTCTGACCTGGGGGTCAGATCAAAGTCAAAGAGATTCCTCTCGCTCATACAGTGTTCCCTGGCAGTCAGCACCTACCCTCATGTCATTTCCAAAATAAACCCTAATTAATATAACGAGAAAACATGGCTTTCAGAAGCTGAGTTAGAATCTATGAATGAAAACAAAATACATATATGAAATATATTTTTGTCATCTGAAATAGACATATCTTATAAATTACAGTATCACAGGATAATTAAAGACATTGCTTTCCACCCCTTGATTCTCAGAATTCTGTATCTTGCTAAAGGAAAAATATCCTCATTATTGGATTCTACCTCAAAATAAATGGGGCTGTTTTAATTTTTCTCAAATCCACAAGTGTTAGCACCATATACCTAGGTCTTCTTTTTTTATTTTTATTTTAAATTGCTAGGATTTTTGTTTACTGTGATGGTCTCACCCAGAACCTCACACAGTACTTGTAGGATTTCCTTTTACTTTATTTTTTGAAAAATTTATATTGTCATAGTTTAAGCTGTCCTCCCGTTGTTCATTGATTTGCTCAAGCGAGCCCAATAGCGTCTCCATTTTTTGAGACTTGTTGTTACTGTGTTTGGCATATTGAATATGTCACAGGTAGCTTGCCAGGCTTTGCTCTGCGGGCGAAGTACTCTCGGTAGCTTGCCAGGCTCTCCAAGAGGGGCGGGAGAATCAAACCTGGCTCAGCTGGGCTGCGTGCAAGGTAAACGCAAGGTAAACATCCTACCACTGTGCTATCGCTCCAGCCCATAGTTTAAGCAATGACGGTTATAATTGTGTCCACGTTTCTGAACAGAGTTACTGGACAGCCCTACAACCTCAGTGCCCTCTCTTCCTCCCTCCCCCATCCTATATCACCCCCAGGCCAGCGTCCCTTGCCCTGAGCCATCCTCCCATTATCTATGGATTATTAGTTATGGTTTCAGTGCAGTGCATTGTTACTCCCTGAGCCCTACCCCTATGCTTAAGAATCTCCATTTACATTCCCAAATTACTTCCTGGAAGTGTATTTGTTCCCTTCACCCCTCTCTCACTGTATTAGGGATAGGTCTGTATTCTAGTTTCTGAGGTTCATTATAGACTAATATTTTCAATACCCTTGGTTTATTTCTTTATATACCACAGATGATGTGATATCATTCTGTACTAGTATAGGCTGAGTTTTTTAAAATTGCCACTTGTGGAGAACTCAACCCAGTCCTCCTCCTGTTTTGTTTATGTGTTTTTTTTTTAAACTTACATGGTGTTTAATCACAAAATAAGTAAGTGAGCAGCGATGGTGGCGGTGTGGTGTGGTCTCTCACCTGCCTCGTGCATTCGGTGGAGATGAGCCGCTACCCTGACCCCAACCTGTAGCTGCGGCCAAGAGATGCAGGAAGGATGGAACAGAGCCGCCAGGCTGCTTGGTGATCAGTTGTCACTTATTTCATTCTCCACATGTACGCTCGTGTTCCAGTCTCACACTTCCCCTTATTTTTGTCTCCTGTTCCTCATGCTATTTCTCCCAGATTTATCTCTAAGTCTTGGTCTCGAGCCTAACCTCCAAGCATTCCTGGTAGCAGCTACACCTAGGTCCTGTAGCACAATAAACATATGAAAGCTCTTCCTTCAGAGGGAAGCTCTTCTAAGAAAAGACAAAAATCTCCTGCAGCTAGAACTGCTCAAGGGAGGAAAAATAACCTAGGGTTGTGTTTCTCTTTTCCTTAATCCAATAACCATTTAAACATTCATCTTAATTCCTCTTCTTAATATTAGTAATTTTGTATGGACACAGTAAGAGAAACATTAAGCTTATAGGATGGCTCTCCTCGGGACATCCCGCTATATAGATTCCAGACTACAGTGCTCAGGCCCGATTAGTCTTTTCCTAACACTAGCAGGGCCCTAATTCAATTCTTTCTCTTTGTGTCTTGACAGAATTTGTCCATGACCATGCTCTTACCATAGAGTTAAGTATTATGTCACTTGACCTGTCTCCTTTCAATACTAGCATAGCTCACAGCTTGCCCTGGGTCCATCCAGTCACTTGTTGGGATCCTGCTTTTGGGGTGCTAGGAACTAAAGGAAACTAAGGCTTAAGTCGAGAAAATATCCAGGAGTGAATATATTCGGAGTCAATTAACTCCCAAGTTACAGAAGCATGGTATTGACTATCTTCCTGTGTCCATACAAAAAGGACATTGCTCTGAAGTAAATTATGCAAAAGGACACAAGAGAAGGGGAAAAGCAGTATTTCACTTACAAACACAAAATCAGAGATTCCTGAAGAATTTGACTTTACAAGACACAGGTACTGCTTAGGGGAAAATGGTGATGAACTGGTTGGGGAAGAGAGCACAGAGAAGAGGTTAAAGGTAAACACAGAGGAATGGGAGTGCCTCGGGAGCACTGTGCATGGTGTAACCCAATAAACCTAAGCTCCCTGCAGCCAAGGAAAAATGACAAACCAACATTATCCTACAATATGGAAGTTTATACAACAAATTATTGGCAAATAACTTAATATAATCTGTAATGTGTGTTCATTTTTTAGAAGATTAGGAACTTATTGGAAATGGAACAGTGTCTCTTAATCTGTACCCACTAATATGTGCTTTGGTACTTTATAAGCATTTATAAATGTTTAGTGAGCTAAGTGACTCTGCATAGAGATTGATGCACTTTTTAAAATGAAAGTTACCATTGATATTTTCTAAGTCATTGTATCTATAACAATCTGATAGGAGCAAGTATTTTTGACACTTAGAAAATTGTCTGTCTTTAGTTATCTTTGTCACTAGAGCTTAAAAGATTGTTTCACGTCTGTAAGAGTAATTTGTCTAACTTCAGTAGACAACACAGTACATACTATAAATCTTATCACAGGATCAGAATGAACCCAAAATGGATGTCATATTTAATGAGAAGATGCTCTCTGTAATGCATTTATATATATGTTC